TTACTGCATTCACTCACATGTGTCTATTATTCTTTAAACGCTTGAGCAAGAAAGCAAAACTGGGAAATAACACAGGCCAAAAAAAAAAGCACACAGACAAATTTTAAAAGAAAGCAGAGAAGTTTTAGCAGCACTTAAGCCGAAAGTTAGTTACGCTTACAAATTTCGTACTAGATCGCTAAATTAAAACTACAAATTTATGCAGCTAAGCTAAGCTGGCAACAAAAGTTTTAGCACGAACATGAATAGATTTAAGTTTTACTTAAAATTTAGAGGAAAACGAAAAAAACCCGAATATTAATATTCTACAGTTCATATCTTGCTCTGAGAAAATGCTCTATAATATGTAGCAAAAACGACGAAACTTCAATATTATGGAGCTGTGGCATAGCTCCTGCTGAAGCCAACTTTAATGTTGTCTATTGTGGTAGTCAATGTTGGGTTCTTAACCTGCCACTTGCTACGTGTGAATTGTTGTGTGGGTCTCCAAGCGTGTGTCTGTGTGTACATATTTATACATGTGCATGCGTGCGTGTGTGTGTGCGGAAGTCTCAGCATGAATGTATCTAATGTTCATCCTTTTGGCTTCGTGTACTTTCCGTCCGTTACGTATATATATGTATATATATATAAACACATTTACTTTTGCTACGTGTGAGAAGCACTTAGTGGGGTCTCTTAATGTATATGAGTGTGTGTGTGCTTGAAAAGTATCTGAGAGTTGACTTTATAAAATTTAGTGAAATTTATAGCCATCGTGTAGGTGTTATATGCATTACCCATCAACAGCAACTAATACCAAATACAAATTGCTACAAATTTGTGGTCCATGAAACTTGGTAAAGCCAATAGCTCGGAAAGGGCGTGTGGGGCGCACGGAGTGGTGGCAAGGTGTTAGGTAATTGACACCTAGTCCGGATTAGCAGTTTTAACCCAAAACTGTGAAAACATGTCGGAGCTTAGCAAATGCGAATAGTTAGGCGTAACACATGTCGCTTAAGCTAAGCATTTGACATGATTTTGTGACATGGATCAGTGGGGCTACATTAGCTACATTAGACCCAAATTGTAGGCATTCGCAAGTGCAAGGTAGCTGCTGATTAAGATGATGATTACTTAAGTAATAATTAATTATACATAAGGCTACTGCCTCAGCAATTATTAATTATGAATATGAAGCACCAGGCAAACACCTGTAAGTGCTCTTGAGGCTAATATGAAGTGCTCAAGCATCTTTATTGATTCTGTTCCCTCGTGACAAAATCTTTATCAGAGAAACTAAAAATATTTATATAATATGTACATATAAATCTGGGCCTCTACTCGAGCACACTCAGTTCTCTTATCTCTCTCCAAACACACTCTAGTCTAAAATCATATACAGACCTTGCAAAATAACGTATTTAATATTCGGTCTACCGTTCCTGCCTGATCTTCATTATACAGTAATTATCCTTAATATTATGTACCCCACAGTCATCTATTTGTTAGTTCGCATTACTCATACGAATCGTTTGACGCCACTTGTCTGCGGTTTGCACTCTCTCATATTCCCTTAACACAACAATTGCATTAAATTAGCATAAATAAAAGTGTAGAAAAAAGGCGGACAAAAACACGAATGCATTAAGCACTGCAAATGAAATTAGCGCAACGTAACAAAAAAATAAAAATAAAAAATAAATAGGAACATTATACACTCGACTAGCAGACAATTAAATGCACTACAGATTTTTTTCTGGTAGAATAAAAACTTTGAACTGGTCAAAAAGTTTTAGAAATTTACAAAATTTGTCGACTGCAACTTTCTAAATTGCTAATACCAGTTGTATTAAAAATACATCTGTGGAAAAATATATACATATCTAAAAATTTCATTAAAAACTAGTTTTCTCTATACAAAGATTTCTGCATCCGTTGCAAATGCCATAACAAATTAGTAATACCTTCTGCTTAGGGAAATATATATATATATATAACATTATGCACGGTGCTGGATGTGCTAACGATTTAAAGTGGATCAAGCAGAAAATAAATACAATAAAGCCAGAAGCTAAGCAACAGCGTATGGAATGAACTGTGCTGCGTTGAAAGAAAAAATATATGATTTTTATACATAATAAAAAATACAACAAAAAATTGTATGCTAAATA